CTCGATTTAATTCTTTTCTTTGTTACGACATTTCAAATAATTTTTGTGTGAAATGCACTGTTCATTTTTTTTGCATAATAAGAAGTGTCGATTCTTGTGGTATAAAAAACCTTATGACTGATTGTTTTTACTCAACTACTTAAATATTTTGATTTGAATATTTTATACAAGAGTAAATTCATATTAATTAATGAAACAATATAAAAATTATATTTATACTTACTATTCACATAGCTTTTTAAATATATGATAAATTTTTGCCAACCTAATTATTTTATGGAATCACGTTATAGTCAAATGGAATTTCTGACTACAAATTTTGACAATGACACATATTTTGAAACGAATATAATGTAATTTGTTATCAGTTATGTGCAACGCGCGGGTTGTATACTAATTTTAAATAGACATTTTTATGTAATTTTGCACCATTTAAATTTTATATAATATTTTCAATAAATTAATATAGGCACATTATATTACATATTGATTCTATGTTTTTTATTATTAATAATTTAATGAGAGTTTTTAATTAATAAATATTAATGAATATCTCTTACTCGTGCATAGCACGAGATTCGTGCTAGTACTATATCAATTGCATGATATTATGATATATTAATACATGTTCATTGTATAAGAGAGAGTGATTGTACATTTATAATGATACACTGTATAGGAGAGAGTGGGATTGTACATCTTTAATGATACACGTCATATTAGTTTAAAGTAATCAGTTGATAAATACAAGTACAAACTATGTTGTGATATAAATTGCACAATGATATATATAAATATAGAGTATAATGATTATAATGATAATAAATTGCACATTTATATATATAAACATAGAGTATATAATAATTATAATTATACACATCATATTAGTTTAAAGTAACCTTTTTTTTTCGATTTATTCCACTCTTATTAAAGTGTTACAAATTTACAATCACTATTATTCAATTTTTATATGCAATATAATTTTTTATTCTTCCTACATATTTTTGATCACTTGTATTTGGTCACCCACTACTTAACCTATATTTTATTTTATTTTTAATTCTTAGTTTAAAATCACATATTAGAAAATTTTAATCCGAAAAAATTAATTTAATAAAAATTCTATTTTTTACTTTTGAATTTTTATTTTATGGTATGAAAATGTGTAAAAGATATACGGTGATATTACAATACAAGTAAAGTACAAAATAAATTAAATGACAAATAAAATAGAAAATGTGCACCTACATCTAATAAAAAAATATTTATAATTGAGTGATATATAATATAATGAAATACACAGCAAAGGAGTCTTGGTTTAAATGTCCAATATAAATTCTTTCATGCCATAATCATTTTTTTTATCTAAAAATTTGTATTGTTCACCATAATTAATGTTCCGCATCTTTTAATGTATTATTTTTTACGTGAAAAAATAACGAGAATAAGTAACGAATTGTCACCTTAATTTGTGCCAGCACAATTTTATTCATGATTAACTAGTTTTACACTATTTTTTTAATATTATTTTAACATATATTCGTATATATATTTTATTATTATTATTATTGTTTTCAAATTAATTAAATCATTAATTTCTACATATAGCAAATTCAGTTTTTCATTGTTTCACATTTTTTAATGTCAATTTTTTAATTTGCCAATAAATCAAGAATGAGTGATCATTTGACATTATAATTTCAGCCAAAATCTAATGTCAGTGACAATTGGGTTGTAACATTTTTAAAAATATTGTTCATTTTTTTTTATTATTTGTAAATTTTATTTTCCTTTATTTTGTAATATATATATATATAGAATTGTTGACCAAAAATATTTGTGTTCGTTTTTATGCTCTCTTCTATTATATTTTGCATTAATGAAATAATTATATTTAATTTATTTTATTACATAATAACTACTACTAACTAATTATAGAGTCACATTAAATAATATTTTATTCTAAAACTCTTTTCATCAAACTAGTTATCTAAAATATTTTTTTTTTTTCAGCTTATTAAGCGAGATATTTTTATTAAAATCAATTAATTATTTCATAGGCAGTTAAAGTTTCATAGGCAGTTGCTATAATAATAATTTCAATATTGTTTTATCTAATTTGGTGGTTATAATCAGCCAATATTGCAAAATATAATTATTGCAATTAATGTAAGTTTTACTATGTAAGTCAAATATATATATATATATATATATATATCATTCATTTTTAATAATGTCAAATTCTACAAAATGTGATATTTTCATTATCCATTTTATGATTTTAAAAAGTACATACACACACATATAATATATAAAATTTATTTTGCTTTTATGTATGTACATTGAATCGAATACTAGTTTGTTTTTGTATTTTACACGACTAAGTTGGAAGATCAATGTATGTATAATTTATTTACTTTAAAATATAACTTAGCTGTAATTTTAAGATTCTTTAACCA